GGTTTGGTGAAGGGACAGAAACAAAAGTGGGAAGGAAAAAAAGACCATGCTAATAGTTGAGTCGAGGCTGAGTCCCAAGGTTGGGGAGTTCCCCATCATGGGTCCCAGTATCCGCCTCCTAAGCCCCCCCCACGACAACAACTGGCAGGGATTGGGGGGGCAATCCTACTTATACCCTTCCTCGTCCCATCAAATCCTTTGGCCAATCTTAATCCAGCACCCTAATCTCCACCACTATTCCTACACTCCAGTCGCTTTTCCCTGGTATATACCCCTCTTCTCTTGCTCATCCCTCTCCTGTCATCAACCTCTCTCTCCACCCCTCAAACATCTGTCCGCAACTCTTTTCCGCCCCTCGTAGAAAACTTGTTTCTCAGACCTCCCCAACAAACTCCACTTCAGAAACTCTTGAAACATTCTAATCAACCTCTCCCTCTGTCCCTTACAACTATTCAAAAAAAAAACCACAAACAAAAAAAATAAAAAAAATCCTAAATAATAAAAAAAAACAAAAAACAAAATAAAAAAAAAAAAAAAAACAAAATAAAAAATAAAAACGACTCCTTGGTGCCGTGTGACTCCCGATCGGCGTGTAACAAAGCGCTTCGAAGCTGGCGTGCAGCCAAACGACGGCGGCGAGCCATTGATTCGGGCTGATTGTCCCTACTCACGCGCTCAAATCGGCGCGCCGCCTTTGTTTAAAAAGCGTAGAGTTTTTTTTTTGTTTTGTACACCGGCGCCATTGGGTTAACCATCTGTCCCTTTTTCCCTTCATAAAAAAAACTCTGTTTTCTCAGACTTCCCCAACACCACTTCAGAAACTCTTGAAAACATTCAAAACTATCTAATCATGACCCAAATAAACATGCCTAGACCCAAGATAACATACCTACACCTTATCCATCCTCCAATCTCTCAGCTCCCACTACCTCTACACTCAAAAGTAACTATTGACATCTATCCTTATCCTACTCATATTCCCTTAGACTCCTTCTTCCCATTCCCTCCCAACATATCCTACACCCTTGTTCTTCAACTGCATCATCCCCTTTTTTCTTCCCCATTATCCCTTCCGCTTTCCCCTGGATACACATGGGACTCCTTTGTGTCACACCCTCTCTCCTGGATTCTCTCCCTCCAGACATTTCTCCTAAAAGTGTGATCTAATCACCCTTAGACCCCCTTTCTCCTTTTTCTCTTATCCCTACCTTACCCTTCAGACATTCTACATATCTTCCTTTCCTTACCTTATCCCATTTACTCACCCGATCTACCCATACCCTCTTTGCCCCTTTACTACACCTTCCTTCAAACGGGTAATGACTTTGAAAAATGAGTTTCAAAAGTAATTGTGATCTTCAGAGAACACCTTACAATTCAAGCTATTTAGAGGGCCATCATTATTATGCACTTCCTATTAATGATCTATAAAGAATATGGAAAGTGAAAATACACTGAAAGAAAGTATTTTATTTTCTGGATGTGCCCCTAAGTTTAATATATATTACACTGTAAAATCTAAACTTCCATTGCGATTACACCATAATTCAAAGGCCCTGAAAGGCCCCAACTATACTGCAAAGGTTTTATACTTTTGTAAGATCACAGTGATAACTGTGTTAAATCCAATCTTTTTGGACAACATGAACATATTTTAATTTGTATTGTCCAGAAGTTTACATACCAATTACACCTCATTTTCTTTTTGAACAGAATTTAAACATCCTTTGGTTATTATCTGATTAGAATCTTTGGTTATAAATATATATGTTTTCCTAGTTTTTTGGTAATATAAATTTTATATCTATAAGTATCCACTATAAACATAGCAGCACAAGTCAACAACTGATACTAATTCACTCTATCAAACATAAAAATTAGCATAAACCCTTAAAATTAAAACAAATCATAAAATAACTATATACTTAGCAGCTTAAATTGTAGTAATCAGTCAGCACCTGATTTTCCTGTCACCACAATGATACTCAGTACAACATAATTATCAAAATTCACGAAAGCATAAACATTGTATGCATAAGACTTTATCAACACATTATTTTTCAATTTTCTTATGAGATATTTTATCACTAAACCAACATCAACAAACTAAACGATTAATGAGGAACTAGCATAGAACTAACAACTTATAATAAATAATATAAATACAGAATTTACACAGTTCATTTTACTGAAGAAAGAATTTCAAGCCTTCAACTAAGTTTTTAGATAGCGATGTGAAGTATCAAATTGCCAAGACTGTGCCCCTTGTGTTTGGAAAAGCATGTAACTGGTCATCTATGAGGTCCCTCGCCCAGTTTGAAATGTCTGGTCCCAACTCAATCCGCCTCTAATTTTTTTTTTTTTCCTTTTCAAACATCTTCTGGGCAGGAGAAACTTCGACATTCTTTAGTTCTGATAAGAAACACACTGATTACTACCTGTATTCATTTATTAATACTTCAGTATATAAGAGGTATTAAAACTTGACATGATTAGATCATCATACTTACAAACGAAAAATGAATGTACAACCAGTCCTGATAAACATACCAACTCACAAAATTAATTCCCACTCACTTTTTTGATATGTGGAATCTGACTCTGTTTCCCCCGAGATTTCTGTGGTATCCGTAAAAAACTAGACGATCCTTCCTGGGTGACATCTGCACAACTTTCTGGAGTTTTATTCTGGGGCAAATCTACTTCATCACCTCCATCAAACTATCCGACTCAATCACAAGTTCCCTCGCTATTGTCGTTTTCTTACTTTTTCCTAAAAATTGTTGCAAAATATCAAGATTTTGTGTGCGTGTGTGTCATGCCATGTACATGCGCGTGTGCATGTGTGTTCGCGTGTGTGCGTGTGCGTGTGTGAGTGGTGCATAAGAGAGAAGAGCTGTGTGTGTGTGTGTGTGTGTGTGTGTGTGTGGTGTGGTGTGGTGTGTGTGTGTTGTGTGTGTGTGGTGTTGTGTGTGTGGTGTGTGTGTGTGTGTGCATGTGTTTGTGTGCATGTGTGTGGTGTGCAGTGTTGTGTGTGTGTGTGTTTTGTGTGGTGGTGGTGGTGTGTGTGTGTGTGTGTGGGGGTGTGTGTGGTGTGTGTGTGTGTGTTGTGTTTGGTTTTTGTGTGCATGTTGTGTGTGTGTGTGTCTGTGTGTGTGTGTGTCTGTGTGGTGTGTGTGTCTGTTTGTGGTGTGTGTGTCCTGTGTGTGTGTGTTGTGTGTGTGGTGTTTGTGTTTTGTGGTGTGTGTGTGTTTAGTGTGTGGTGTTGTGTGTGTGTCGTGTGTGTGTGTGTGTGTGTGTCTTGTCTGTGTGTGTCTGTGTCTGTGTGTGTCTGGTCCTGTGTTTGATGTGTGTGTCTGTGGTGTGTGTGTGGGTTGTGTGTGTGTGTGTGTGTTGTGTGTGTGTGTGTGTGTGTGTGTGTAGTGTGTGTTGCGTGTGTCTGTGTGTGCGTGTGTCTGTGTTGCGTGTGTCTGTGTGTCGTGTGTCTTTGTGTGTGTGTCTGTGTGAGTGTGACATCGTAAGTGCGTGAGTGCTTAGTGCGTGAGTGCATATTGCTGTGTGCGTGTGTGAGCTGTGGTCTGTGTTATTTCAATAGCAACCTGGAATGCCAACTAGTGTATGGTCTTACGTAGCCGAGTGTGAGAATGTCAACCAAATCTGTATGTCTTGAGTTTAACAAAATATACATTACATTTAAGAGTATGTAATAACTACAATGACATATACACTTACTTTGTTTTTAGGCTAAGACCGCATTTCATGAATCTTCTTCTCAATCTGTGATTTCTAACTTGCCACCATAAGTTGCGAATATTCCGGCAATAAAAGCTTCCAGGACAAATGCAGTGAAGATCTACCAAATGGTAGAAAAATCCTGTTTACATAGTAATCCTTTGGAAACTGAAATTTAGAAAATTATCTGCTGCTGATCTTTAGAGTTTACAAAGTTATCTTTTTTGTCAGAATACGTATGGTCTAAATGTTCTGGGAGGAGAAGACATGAACATTTCAACCTCACCCAATAGAAAAATTAACAGTATTACTTTACACAGGTTAAAAAAATAAGAATAGTAAACCACCAACAAAAATATCTAGCAGTATGAAGAATTTTTTTTTTTTTTTTCTGCAACTTCCTTTCACATTGATGAATAAAACCATCAACCAAAACTCTCATACAGTTAAAATGCATCTCTAGTTAAATCATATATGATTACATAAATTAAATAGTTTATCTACACTTTAGTTTTGTCCACATGTAACAAAATGAGTAAGAAAACGAGAACAGAAATTCTTCAACCCAAATGCATTTTTTCATTTTGTTAATGCGTATTATATAACCCGCACTGCAAGTCTTTACAACATCATATAAAGTCCAACCACCAACCACAATGTAATAAAAGTATTCTTTTTTTACATATCTATCTTCACAATTTTACTTCTAACATGTTATAAGAAGACTTACTTTAGCACAATGATAACGCAAATAGATGAAGAACATGAAGACCAAGCGTGCCCATGAGTTTGTCACAGCAGCATAACCATAAGCAATAAGTGTTTTTTAAGGATTAGGAAAATACATACTATAAAAAAAATTGAAAAGAACTTTAAATTGCCATCCTAATCAAGACTCAATCTATTTCATTGACTTGCTTCAAAATCTTAAAGCGTTTGAACTGAATCAGTTATGAACAAAAATCATTAAGTAAACACAAGCTACACATAATGGGTGGTTCTCAATACTCCACCCTCAACCAGCCCCATTTCATCTCACAAATTCTAATCACTTTTTGTATCCTACTTTTCAGACACTTGTAGAATAACCTGACGAACAGATATAGAAAGACAACTAATCAGAGGTGATGCAGAAAGAGATAGCAAAATCAACACAATTACTGACTTAGAACTAAATGAAGTAAAGACTTAGTAAAAACATACACGCATATATTATCAGAAATATCTCATTATTTCTATAAAAGGATATCATGCCTTGGTTTGACAACATGACTCGAGAGAACATGATGCCAATGAACTACATCATTGAAGTTGTTATTGCAGTAGTGGTCACGCCAAAGTCTGTCTTTTCTAGGTTTTTCATTGCTGCAGAAGAGCCTAGCCCACTCTCTTGTCTATCCAGTATATTATGTACAGCCTTGGAATGAGTCCATCCCAATCATGTCGATATGTAGTAAAATACCTGGAGAAATTTAAAAGGAGTAACTAAAATGATAAAACCATCTAATTTTCACAAGGATCTTCTGTATATAAAATTAACTTACACATAAAAATCTTATCTACATCATGAACAAACTATACCCATATTATCTTATTTGGTTATCTATCACTAAATCTGTTTTGCACTATCATACTGAAATCCTAGGAGAAAAAAATGCACTGCTCTTTCTAGTAATATGTCTTCGTAACCCATTGCCGCCAGGAAAATGAAACAAAAATGGGGAAAAATCGGTGCCTATTTTCTACATTTTTTTGTGAAATGTTTTAACTTGCGGAAAACATATTTTCCACTAGTCCGATGAAATCGATGGGTTTATTTTTTATATAAATAACTATAATTATTATAATGTTTTTTTAACATTAGTAACAGCAAAATAAATAACGTAAAATATTTGTAAATCAAAGAAAAGGGTGAACGGGTGAGACAGGCATACTCATAACTGGCTCATTGGTGATTTGTACAAGTGGTAGCCACATGTGTTAAAACAATCAAACAAGTAATCTCACAGTAGGCATGCCCGTCGGCAATGGTTCACAAAATCATATGAAGCGCCACTTTACAATACACTTGATTCAGAAGCTCATAAGTTAAAAAAAAGTTCCATACACAAACATAATACATCTTACCAAAAGCACTCCTCCATATGTTAAGAGAGAGGGACCAATCTTGCCGATAGTGTGTACATGACTTTAAAACGGTCAATACTTCCAATGATCTTGGACAAGCCGTAATACTCTTAACACTAGCAATACATCCAGGCAAGACACTGTCATCCTCTATCATATGTTGAGAAAATAAATGCTCTTGTAATATTTAACAAGGGTAAAGATTAAA